AGGACTCAACAGTTACCCCCAAATACAATTTGCTTTTGAGCTAAACTCAAGTTCTTTGGTGCTTCACGAGATTAGTCTACAAATAATATAAACCATCATGGCATCATCACTATTAATGATCAAAATCAATACTTGCATCTTCTTATACTTTAACAACCAAATTTCCTAACCACAACTTCAATCTCATAGCCAACGAGTTTATTAACTCCCATTAATTCAAAACTCACTAACGTAGCACTAACAATCCAAAATCATCCTTTAAAGGCTTAGGGTCCACCCAAAAATGGATGACTTAAGTTCACAACCTTGTAAAAACTTTTAAACTAGGTTTATAATAATTAAACAACTTATATTAGTCCTATTTAGACTAATAGGTTTGGACTTATAGCCCTAAATTCAAAAATCATCATCATACAACCCCAAGATTTACTCCAAAATCATGTAGAGAGAAGGGAGAAGAGTAGTAAAGGCATACCTAAGTGGAATCAAGCTCAAATCACCTCCTAAATGCTCTAAAGTATATGCCCTAATAGAGCAATAACTCCCTCTATCACCCTTTCTCTATTTCTCTCCTTTTTCCTTATGTTCTACAACTCATGCATGACCTATAGATTTAAAAGCGCAAGGCACATTGCATCTGCTATGGTGGATGACATGTAATGGCAAGCCTAAATTTAGTGCCTCAATATGGGCTTAGATAGCCTAAAACACCTTTGGATTCATTCCAATGGTTGAAAATAAGTTCCATAAGCCCATTAGCCATTTCAAACCATCCTCAAACTAATTAACACTTAATTTTAATTATTTAATCTTGATTAATTTCACTTAATCCAAGGATTAAAACTTTAGAATGTTACATGATGCACAATAAACAAGACATAATATTAGTAGCTAAGATGAAAAGATAACGAGATAGAGGATCTCCTTGTCTAATGCTATTTTTTTTGGATAAATAGGTTAGGTAAAACAACCATTGAAATGATGTGATATTCAATAGTGGAAACACATTTCATAAGATTAACCCACTTAGCTGGAAATTTCATTGTATGCAAAATGGCTTCCAACAATTTCCAAGATAAATGATAAAAAACCTTGGAAAAATCCAATTTAAGAGCATCTAATATTCATCTTTTCCCTATTGTAACATGAATCTGGTATACCTAGTTAGCAGCCACTAAAACATTATCATAAATCTGTCTCCCTTTCAGATAAGCACTTTGAAAAGGAGAGACAAGTCTTGGAAGCACCTCTTTTAGCCTATTACAAAGGACCTTGGAGATAATCTTGTAGGCCATATTGCATAAACTTATTGGTCTCAAATCCTTAAAAGAAACTGGATTTTGTCCTATAGGAATAAATGTTATCAAAGATTTGTTTAAAGCAGTAAGAATATTTTCAGAATGCAAAAAGAATTAACCATTTTAAAAGCATCATCCTCAACTAAATGCCACTATATTTGGAAAAAATTAGCATGTAAACAATCAAGACTAGGGAAACTATCCTTTAGGAGAGTAAAGGTATCAGTTTTCACCTCATCTCTAGTGATTGCTATAATTCCTCTAATAGCTCTCGCTGATTATCAGTAGAGAGAATGAGTTGAAAATACCATTGAAGTGCCTCCACATGGCATGTAACAATTTATTTTGATCTTCAACCTATTGATTCGAATCAAATGTAAGGCTCTGGATTAAGTTCCTGCTCCTTCTTCTGTTAACTATCATGTGGAAGAACTTCGTATTCCATTTGCCTTCAATTTTTCACTTCACCTTGGCTCATTGAGCCAAAAGCTATTTTGACAGTCATAATAAAATTTCAGAAGATGTTTGGTTTCGTTCATCTATTAAAGGAGAATAGGGTCAACATTTGAGATATTGTCAAAAAGTAGAGTAAGTGACTGCAATTTTGCTCTAACTAGTTGATTGAAAATTGATATTGCCCACCTTAGTTTAGGATTGTTTTGTTCTTTGTTGTTATTTTTCATTAACTATGTAATTATTATTATTATTATTAGAAGAGCTGATAATTGAAGCTACCTTAACCTACATATCTATCGACACAGATGAGCAAGTCTAAAGGCATTCCAGCAAATCAAATTCAAACACGACCTAAGTTAGCCTATATGTTTGTTAAAGCTAATAATTTAGGTGGGTCGGTTTCAATTCACACTAGCCCAAATAAATATGAATTTATAGAAATGTTTAAATAGTCAAACCCAACTCTAATCTCTTCAAGTTGCAAGCTTACTTGGGCCAACTTGAATATCCAAATTGTCAATTTTTTTATTTGTAAACAAATTTGATTTTTTTACTTTAAAATTAATTATTTTTATTTTATCAAAAAATATAACTTTAGGCTTTAATAGAATAGCAAGAACATAAAGTTGAAATAGTAGAGATGAAAATGTTGAGATGGATTTATGAGTGTACACGTAAAGATAAAATCTAAAATAAAAACATAGGAAGAACATAGGCCTATTGAGGAGAAAATGATAGAAAATCATTTGAAATAGCTTGTACATGTACAAAGAAGAGACACTAGTGAGGAGAGTGTAATGGATAATTTAGAGCCCTATTATGAGAGGTAGAAGAAGAGTAAAGAGACCACTTCTAAAAGTTGTTGACCAAGACCTTACTATAAAAAAATAATTGATTAGCAAGGGAACATTCCATCACTAATAAGTGAAAATTCCATTCCTAAGTGGGTTAGAGATGAAATTAGAGACAGAATATTTTTCATCGGTAGAAACACCAACAAAAGAATTTGCAATTATTAGCGACAGAATTGCATTTTGTGGCTAATTTGTGATAGAATAATAACAAAAAATCTCCATCACTAAATAAGGATAAATCATTTTGACTAGCATTCCATCATAAATTTTTCAACATACTTATTCTGTTGCTAATTTTTACGCCAACCAAAACATTACTATCACGTCACTCTGGTGGACCAATGCCACCTTGCCATGGCCTTGTCATCTAGCAGACCAGTGCCAGGTCACTACCACATTATTTGTCACTGTAATATTAAATATTATTACCTTCAATTGTGCATTGGCTAAGCTCAAACTTGCAACCTATCACTCCCTAGTTTGTATCTACCTTATTGTCAGTTGAGTTGAAAAGAATCTTCAATCTTAATTAATAAATTAAATATATAATACTTAACCCCACACGCATATTAATAAATATATATTTAAATTTACTTATTTTTTAACATTATATTTATTTATTAATATGGCAAAATAATTAATATATAACAATTATTTTATAATATTTATTTTAAAAATTTATTTTTGACAATAATTAAATATTAAATGAAAAATATTTTATTATCATTATATATATATTATAATTTTAATATAATATATAATTTTTTAAATATTTATTTATTAATATATTTAATTTTTATTTTTAAATAAGAATAATGAAGTATACAATTTCAATTAATATTATTGATGATACGCAAAATAATTTAAAATAATAAAATTTTTATTTATAGCATAATATAAATTATTAAATAAATTATAATAAATACATATCATAAATAATAAAATTAAATTAAAAATAATTTGTGACAGAATTAGCAATGAGATTATGATGTAAAGCTTTGTGATGAAATTTTTCATTGTAAATTCTATCACTAAATTAGAATAAAATTTTTCATTGCTAAATTCTATCACTAAATTATTTCTCATAGATTAGTAACGGAATAATAACAAAATTTTAGCAACAAAACATTTCTCACTAAAGTGATGAAAATAGTGATGGATTAGTGATAGTCACTAAATTCCGTAACTAATTTGCTATTTTTTTTATAGTGCCTCTTCGTTAACAATATTCTTAAAATTTTAATAAATGATAAAGTATAATGGCATCGTATAATTTATGTAGTCAACCCCACCTTATGGGATAAGACTTATTGTTGCTGTTTATCAAAAACTATAAAATATACTTTATATGATACTTAAAAATAAACTAAAACTTAAATGGATAATTAAGCCTGAATTTTTTTGAGCCTTAAACAATAAAAAAAAATTTCCTCAGCTCGGCTCTAGATTTTTTTAAAGTTTATTTGGGTTGATATGAATTACTAGCTCTTATATTTGTATATAATATTAAAGGAAAAAATGATAATTAAGAGCCTTATAAATACATTAATGACAATTAAAAATTTAAATTATTGAAATGTCATGAAACGATCATTATCTTTATTTATAATTAAAAATAAATAATTATTAAAACAATTGTAAATAAATATTGGAATGTGACTCATATATAAATTTAAATATAAAATTACTTGTAAACTTGAGTAATGTTATTTGTGAATAAATGAAAAATTAATTGTGAATAAATATATAATTTTATAAATTTATATATTGTCACTTATAAATTTAAAAATAATTTGTTATAAATTTTACGAATATTAATGATAAATTTATGAAATTTTAGTTGTCAAGGATTGCTTGAGCTTGAAGAGGGTATTGGTGTTAGAAGGGAAGAGGGAGGGAGGGGAGAAAAGGAAGGAAAAGTAGAGTCGAAGAGACACCATTTCGCAATATGGTTTGCTTTGCAAATGAGGGGTAAATGAGTCATTTTTGCCTGGAAATAATTGTCAATAAGGTTTTTGGGCCTGTGACAAAACATTAAAGTTTTTTTGACCTTATCTGCGAAAATCTTCTTTTGAGGGCTTAGAACGCGATTCTCCCATTACAAATATTTCTGTTTTGGTCTCCTCTCCATGGTTGAGTGGCCTTTTTTTTTTTTTGCCCTTTCCTTGAGCACATGGGTGGGTGCAATGCAACCGGGCGAGTATTAGCTATTAAGCAACGCGAATCCAGACTGTTCTAGGCCGCTGGCTTAAAGGTCGAACACATATATTTTACTTTAGGACAGGTGTAGCCCTATTAGAAAAGCAATCAGTCCGTTCTCGCTTAAAAGTCGATCACTTCTTTCTGACGCGGCTCATGTGTTATATTATATATATATATATATTGAGCCGTTTACTTCCACCGCTCACAGAACCACATTCCATTCCGTGTAGACTCTCCTTCCAATTTTCTTCTCTTTCTTGCATTCCCATCAAGTCCGTCTAATCCTCACTTCTGAGTTCTCACCTCGAAGTGCTCAGTTTAATTGAGCTTCATTGGTGGTGTAACTTTCGATGAATCAAACCATGAAGATACCAAGAAGTGTGACTCTCTTGGTTCTTCTTCTTCTTGCTCTGCTATTGGTGGTTTCGCATGCGGACGAGTCTAATACGAAGCCCTTGGTGAAGTATCACAAGGGGAAGAAACTCTGTGACAAAGGGTGGGAATGTAAGGGATGGTCCATTTATTGTTGTAATCTGACGATTACCGATTACTACCAGACCTACCAGTTTGAGAATCTCTTTTCTAAACGCAATTCGCCTGTGGCTCACGCTGTTGGCTTCTGGGACTATCATTCTTTCATTACTGCTGCTGCTCTTTTTGAGCCTTTGGGATTTGGTACCACTGGAAACAAGACCACGCAGATGATGGAGATTGCCGCGTTCCTGGGTCATGTCGGTAGCAAAACCTCCTGTGAGTGTTGATCTTTGGTTTATTTTTCTCTTCTTATTCTTGGTTTTCTTTTTCTCATTTGGATGTTTTCGTACTGCGATATTGCTTGTGTTGTGTTTGTTTGCGCGTTGTTGTTGCTGCTGTTTTTTTTTTTTTTTTTTGTGGCGATTTGATGTGGTTTGATTTTAGGGTGTCATTTTCTTGTTTGGTTCGTGAGAAAATATATTAGAAAGGGAAATAATTGGCGAATGTGGCTTTTGTTTGTATGCTCGATCGCATGGAGAGCATTGAAATGTCAAATGTGCTCCCAGATGAGTCTTTAGCGGGATTGACAAGAAAATGTTTGTGTGATCGAGCTTTTGCTGTATATTTTTGGTTAAAAGATGATCACATTGGTCTGATTTATTCTGTAGGAGGTTCTAATCTTCAATGTGAAAATGAATAGCCTTATTGGGGTGTGCTAAATACAAAAATGATGCTTTTGCGGTTTATTTGAACTTATAATGGACCGTTTTCCTCCTGAATAAACTAAAAGGAGGGAATACTGAATTTCAATATATATATATATGTATCTTTTTTCTTAGCATTGCCATCCACATATCATTGCATACAGACTAAGTAGGTAAAAATTTGTTCGTTGAAATTATTTTTGTTTTAAATTTTAACTATTGTTAGTGTCTTTTATTAGTATCTTGTTTTGACCTTTTGTATTTTCAGTTCTCATATCTAAAGGAGAATGTCATAGCCCCCACTTGTTGTAATCTTTCCTTTCTTCTTCTAAATTATTTTATCAAACCCGTATACCAGGTGGTTATGGAGTGGCCACTGGAGGACCTTTTGCCTGGGGTCTTTGTTACAATCATGAAATGAGTCCAAGTCAGTCCTACTGTGATGACTACTTCAAATACACCTATCCCTGTGCTCCTGGTGCCCAATACTATGGCCGTGGTGCAATTCCCATTTACTGGTATGTCTTGGCCCTGAGAAATAGAATATTCTTTTCATCGTTCTTGATTATGCCTGATGTGTACTATTCACTGTTTGTTCAGTTGTGTTGTGGTAGATGGCCAAAATTAAGAGCTGTGTTAGGTAAAGAATGATGCTTTAATGTGTTCTGGGCAGCCGGGGCTGCATGAGGAGGCTGCTGAGAGTGGTTTTCTAGAAGGAATTAGTTAGGCTGCAGTTGATAAACAGGGGGATAATAGAGTGAGGAGGATTCTAGCCTGTGAAGAGCTAGAAGTTATCCTTATTTCTTCTATTACTGCTTTTGCTGTGATAATTTCATATGGAGATCCTAGTCTCCTGTTCTTTAATGAACTTAGGGATGCCAAAAGGGAGCCATTGACCAAATTATCTAGCTAAATCCTAAAAGTTTGGACTTATATCTCATGAAATCCAGGTTTTCACTGGATTGAAACCTTAAACCCCCTATTTTATGGATTTTATAAATGAAGAGGGAAAGAGGAATTTTCAATATCCATTCGAAATCTTCAAGAGCACTTCAGTCAACTCAATTCACCCTAACTTGCATGGTCAAACAGTTTTAAACTTATAAAAGAAAGATTTGGCTTGTAATGGAATGAATGATAAATGAGCAAAAGGAAGGTTTTTCAAATTTTTTCTGTGTGTGTCTTTTTTTTTTTTTTTTTGAAGGGGGGGTTTGGTCAAGAGCGAAAGATGGAGTTACTGATGGATTTGCTAGCTTTGTGGCGGTGATAGTAAAAGAAGCAAAGGTGACAGAAGTGTACCAGGCATTTGCAGTGATAAAATAGAGATAGAACTGAGTGATAATCTTGTGAAGCAATTATACAAAATTATCATTACAGCTAATGTCCTAATTGACTCAGGCAACTTAAACAACTAATCTGAATGCACCTCAAGTATGAGCAGGGGATTCTTCCTAAATACTGATAATTACATTTTCTAAACCTGCTACAGCCACATCATGATAAATCGCATTCATGAACCAAATCTCAAGTGGCCAGGGCTTTTCTAGAATTCTGATATAAAAATTTTGTTTGGTTTGAGATGGGCACAATATATTACCTTAGTGAAATGTCAAATTCCTGATCAGATGACATGGCATGTCAAGGTTTACTTGAAGGAGGAATTATTGTTTGGTTATAAGTGCGAGTAATTTGTTTTTTTTTTTTTAATAGTAATGAATAGGACCAAAGCGAACAGGGTGAACCATGAAACCATTTTTTAGTTCATGGATAGCTGCATTTGTTTAATAGAAGCCATTATTATTAGTATTGATTGATGTCCTTTTACTTTAAGGGGGTTTTATCTGTTGTGCTTTTAGGATTGCTTTGGATGTGTTTGTTCACTGAGTGATATCATATTGAAATATGTATATTGTTGAATATGGTGGTTGCTTCCTGTTGGTGCTATCATTACAGGAACTACAACTATGGTGCCACTGGAGAAGCATTGAAGATAGATTTACTGAGCCATCCAGAATACATAGAGCAGAATGCAACTCTTGCCTTTCAGGCTGCAATCTGGAGGTGGATGACCCCAATTAAAAAGAAGCAACCATCGGCGCACGACGTAATGGTCGGAAACTGGAAGCCGACGAAGAACGACACGTTGGAGAAGCGGATTCCTGGATTTGGCACGACAATGAACATTCTCTATGGTGATTCTGTTTGTGGACAAGGTGAAATTGACTCAATGAACAACGTCATTTCTCATTTCCTTTATTATCTTGACTTGCTGGGCGTTGGTCGAGAGGAGGCAGGGCCTCATGAAGTGCTTTCATGTGCTGAGCAAGTTGCTTTCAACCCATCTTCTTCAACTTCATCTTGAATTTCGTCGTACCAAGTCTCTTCTGGCGTGGATGGTGAGCGAGAGTTTTTGTAAGTTATCGTGCAGAAAGAATTTGTCATGTAAAAAGCCATGACATTTAACAGGGGAAAAAAAAAATCTAGATCTACTAAATATTGAAGTTATGAAATTTAATTATCATTATCAAAGTATTTATATAGTGTGTTTAATGAGGGTAAAATTAAAAAAGTATAAATCTGTTTAAGAAATTAAGTTTCAACTAACACTTTTTAAAAAACTGTGAATTAATTATTAATGTTTTATATTTTGCTTCGAAGGGAGTATATAATATTTAACAGCGAAGCTTTTCCTACTAGGTAATTGGTTTTTTATGTTCTTTTCATTTTAAATTACAAAATATTTTTAGATAAAATTGTATATATTAATAAAATTTATTAAATATATTTTACAATTTTATTTTTAAAAAAAAACATAAATGTTCAAGAAAAGAGAGAATATAATGGGAAAAATAATATTAAAAAATTATCATCACAAAGTTTTTTATATTTTGGGATTTTGAATTTCTCATAAAAGTTTTTATAATTTAAAATGACAGTCAAGAAAATATATGTGTGTGTAAGCTCTTATTGTACTTTTTAATTTTAAATTAAGTTTTTGTAATTTATTTTGTTTTAATTGAATCTTTATAGTTTGGTCGATTATGTTTTTTAAACCGTAAAAATTAAAATCCTTAATTTTTTTCCTTTAAAAAATTAAATTAAGAAATTTTATATTTTTTTAAATGATTATATTACTTTAGAATTAATTGCATAATTTTTATAACTCAAATTTTTATATTTAGGTTGTTTTTAAAATATTTTTTATACTTATAGAATAAATGATAGCACAATTCTTGCAATCCATTTAGATAATTTTTAAAAATTAATATAATGTAAACAGTGCAAAAATCAATTTTTCGTTTTTTAATTTTGGATAAAGGTATTGAATTAAATTTTTTATAAACTCTATTTGTATTTGAAAAATTAAATAATTTATTATTAATTTTAACCTTCAACGAAGGATTGATTAAAATAAAATAAATTGTAGATTTCAAATTTAAAAATAAATAAAACTATAAGAATTAACATATTAATTTTCTCATTATATTATATCAAGTAAGTAGGAATAGGTTACTCCTGATTTTTTTAATTTTGTATGTATACTTGTAAAAACAATATTCTCATTTGTCATTTCTTATGATCATGCTTGTTAAAACATTATATTTTTATTTTTTATGCTCGTACTGGCTAAGAAATTATAATTAGTTATCATTTTTCATATATCTACTTGTCAAAAACAAAAAAGCACTCATCTATTATTTTTTTACTACCATGTTTATTAGAATATTACTATCATGCCTTATATTAAGAGTCATCACTCTCACTTACATGATGGATCAAATAACATGTTATCTTCTGCTTTTTGACTTTCGAGTGGGCATGTTGAGGCAATGTAAAGTCACTTTATCCCTTCCCTTAATTAATTACTAGCATTTCAACGATCTCCCGCCATTATTCCTTCATAAATTACATTAAAAAAAAGTCAACAATTAATATTGAATTTGAGTATGTTATTGCTTATTAAAGTCCAACAAGTTAATGGTGCAAAGTTGTCGCTTCTTTGTATCTCCACCTTTGGGCTTGGGAAATATTTTTTTTGGGAAAATTATATTGAAATAAAAAAAATGTGTTACTGCAAAGTTTGTTGATAAGTAAATTAAATTATATTGAGAACACAATTTGTTGTTTAGGTAAATTATGAATAAATCTTATATTAATTAATTTTTTTATATGGAATTTGATTGTAATCTCCCTTTTTTTTTTGTTTTTTCTTCTTTCTTTTTCCTTTCCTTTTCTTTTTTTCTTTTTTTTTCCTCACAATACAAACGCTTGCCTTTGCTTGGGAAATGCTTCTATCTTGCCTTTATATCATATCTTTCCATGTGGCATAAGGGTGAAAATAGGTTAGGTCAAATTAAGCTTTGGTCAAATAAGATTGAGCCTGTGTGGTAAGTTCGAAGCTCGTGTTTGGCCTAAAGCCTGTATAAGGATTTTCTCACGGCTTAAGCCTAAAACTATCTAAAACCTAACCTGGCCTGAAAGCCTATTCAAAAGCTTACTGTTTAGGCTAAATATGAAATGTCGCTCAAATAGGTCACAAGACTAATTGGGTTGAATAGTTGAAATGTCAAGCCCAATATAAACAAAGAGGCCGGCCTCGAAGCTCATTAAAGTCCACAACACATAAACATGTCAAAATCCTGTCAGCTTCAAATATCAGACCGTTGGCACGAAGACACGATCTTAAGTGATGTTGAAATCTATGCCCAAGTAGTTCAGTGAAATGAGCTAATGGAGAGACCGTGCCATGAGTTTCACGAGATTCCTAAATCTTCGGTAGAACGTGCTAAGTCCCAAAAGAAAGGCTTCTGCTATTAGACACTATAAATAGGAAGAAGAAAAACAAAGAGAACAGTCAACACTCGATTGAGACTCGCATAATTTACATTTACTAGCCCTTTCAGTTCTTTAGTTTTTTGTCTGTAACTTTCAAACACTTCAATAGAATTACATATTTGTTCTGCCAAGGCCTACTATCTTTTTTACATTCGAGTGAATTGTGGTAAGGGAACTCAGGACCCTTTCATTATCTATTTGAGACCCAGCGTCTCTAGCATGCTTGGTATTTATTGTTCAACCACGAACAATTTATGGCACGCCCAGTGGGATTTGTGTAACAAAGATGGCAAGGATGTGGAAAGATAAAAGGATTAATAAAACAGGTGCTGGTTCTCATAGACTAGAAGGGATCTTTGCGCATGCAGGATTAGAACACTTATCGCCTGATGCTGGAGCAACTGATCATCATGAACATATAGTACCGGTGACAACAGATAGCAGCAGCACAAAACCTGGCTCCAAGTCAGGAGGTGGCCAACCCAACCCACTGATCATATCCAACGGAGCTGTAGTAGAAGTGCTGTGGGCAATTTAAGACTGAATGGATAAGCAGCTGGAAGAGAACCAGAGGTTCTTTGCAATATCCCTGGAAACATCAAAACACAGGGAGAAGGAATGACAACAAATCATGATGCAGGTTTTGCATAAAGGCATGAAAAGTATAGCCACATCATTGAAAACCACCCATTAGGAAGTAGGCTCGAACATAGGGCTGCTTGGGGGCCAACAAGCTAGAGTGAATACAAGTACTAGCCATTGGAGCTACACACTTGTAAGAGACATCCTTAACCACTAAGTATTTACGCACACTCATCCGTTGATTAAACCCTCGTATTATCTACATGATCCTGGCACTAGTGGCATGGGGGGCACGGCGGTGATCCCAGAACATGCGGTAGAGCCTCAGAACCAACTAGTGAACATGGAGGCTTTATGGGATGCCATTTTAAGATATATACAGACTAGGGCTAAGGCCAATTGACCGCCCCACCTTCTCAAAGCCTTATCTAGAGTATATAGACAGGGATAACCCATACCCTCAGGGATATAGAATCCCTGACTTCACATTGTTCTCAAGAGATAGTACGCAGTCAACCCTGGAGCACATTAGAAGATTCACAATCCAGTGTGGCAAAATTGCTAATTATGAGAATTTCACTAACTTAAAACTGAGGTTGTTTCCAAATACGCTCACGGGCCCCACGTTCACATGGTATATGTCACTACCTCGTAACTCAATCATCAGCTAGATGGAGATAGAGCAAAAGTTCCATATCTAATTTTATAAAGCAGAACTAGAAGTCAGCATAGCGGAACTCTACAAGCTCATACAATGGGCTTGAGAGACAGTAGACCAATATTTGGTGATGTTCAAATGCCTGAGGAGCAGGTGCCACCATATTAAGGCCTTTGCCGAGGAAAGTGGGATTAAGTTATTGGCATCTTCACCATATTACCCTCAAGTAAATGGGCAGGCTGAAGCTTTCAATAAGATCATCCTTAAAATTTTAAAGAAAACAATTAAAGAGAATCCTCTAGAATGGCAGAAACAATTAGCCGAGACACTATAGGCATACCGGACATTTAAAAGAGAAGCTACAAGCACGAGCCCATATGTGTTAACATATGGGCATGAGGCCATTTTGCCTATGGAAATAGCAGTTCCTTCACTACGCATTGTAAATAGTCTAGAAAGACCGTCTGACGACTATAACGAAGCCATAATAAACGAGTTAATCCAGTTAGATAAAATTCACTTACAAGCACTTGATCATATGATCGCCCACAAGAAAGAAGTTTCGAAAATGTACTATAAGAGGATAAGACGGAAACATCTTCAAGCAGGCGAGATCGTATGGAAACTTGTGTTACCACCTGGTTCTAAAGACCGGATACTTGGTAAGTTTTCACCTAATTAGGAAGGATCGTTCAAGGTAGACAAAGTACTTAGAGGGAACACATACATGTTAGCCAGCGTAGATGGAATTCCACATAAACGGGCTATAAATGGCAAATATTTAAAGAAGTATTATCCTTCATTATAATAGGAAAGTAATAAAGGACCTGAGGCCTAGAATGGCCTCCGAGCATACAAAACTCACACAATGAGAAAAAAATGTTTGTTCTTTATTATCATTAAATCATGTTACAAGGAATAAAGAATAAACAAATAAAAAAATGTGTGTGTGTTTATACATAGAGTACACTTTTACAAAGGCTGCACATAAGCTCCTACGTTAACAGAGCCTAGTCTAGATCCGCTGAAAGGGTCTATTGACGTGTAAGGACCATTTTGAACTCAAGCATAGCTTGAAGCTTAGTATCTGAGACAGTCCGAACCTCATCCAACACTTTAGTAGCTACTTCTAGCTCAAGTTCTACTGGACCATCCTCAACCTTGGCCTTCGTCAACTCTTCTTTAGCCTCTGCAAGTTGGTGCTTCAAGTCCGCCACCTTAGCCTGTAATGCCCGAGGATTATCAACACGGGGGGCAATCTCTTGGACCCAATCACTAGCAACAATCGTTCGAGTATTGGCGGCCAAATATTCATCCCTCACTACCTAATTGTTCTTTAAATATTCGAATAGGAGGGGAAGTTCTTTGCGGCATTGGCTGACAATGCCATAACATGCCGGGACTTAAGCTCGTAGAAGCGCCAACTCGAACATGGAGACCACCTTCGCCACAGCCTCGAGAGCCTGGATCAT